GTTAATATTTCAATTAATATTTTAAATTTATTAATATAAACTTCAGCTAAGTTAATTTTTCTTAAATTAAATAATAAACTTCTTTGTATTTGAGTTTTACCTCTTAATCTTGAAATTGCTTTTCTTACTTTATTTTTAAGTAAAGGAATTTTTATCACAGGAGAATATTTATTGGAAAGAATTCGTTTATTTTTAAAAATAAAAGGATTTTTATTAAAACTTAAAGAATAAATTTTACTTTTTTTATTTAACCAATCCTTTCTAAAGCTTTTATAGTAATAAATAGAAAACAATCTAAATACTTTTTTATGGGGAATATTTAAAAAATAAAATAATTGTATCGTTACTTTATCAGGAGTATGTAAATAAACAGGTTTGCTTATTAAACAATTTAAACTTTTAAAAAAATAAAATAATAATTTATTAATAAGAAACAAATCTTTATTTATAGCTATTCCTTCATACTTATTGTTAAGAGTATTTGCTTTGATTTGTACATTACTATTACTTTTTAAAATAGTATTTGTAGGCTTTGTATTACTACTGTTTATCTCTCTTTCTCTTTCTAAGAAGTTAAAAGCTATAGTTTTATTATAATTAAATAAAATTCCATTCTTTTGTTGAGTCTTAATATCCGGAATAGGACTTATTCTTTGTAAATTATTATTTAAATATTGATCAATAATAGTATAATTTTTAGTTTTATCCTTACCTTTTGCTAAAGAGCTAGAAGAGAAAAGTTGAAGATAACCTGTTTTATTTAAAAAACTTTCTTTTTTGATTTCACTTATTTTAAGTAATTCTAATGTTCTGTTTTCCCCTTTACTTAAAAGTTTGAAATCACCATTTTCACTATAGCTTAGGTCCTCTTCTCCCGTAGGTATTCCCATAATTCGGAGCTTAGAAATGTTTGTTTCTTTAATAGAAATAGGTGTTTTTCCTCTTGCCTCTGCAAGAGTACTACAGTGAGCAGAAGTTAAATTAACTAATTTATTTAATCTATGTATTACAATACTTCCTTTACTTTTATTGTTAATTCCAAATTGCAATTGAATACTTTCTCCATCCAAACTCTTAGGAGTAACATTAGGGTTATTCGAAGAATCCATAAATTCCATAAAAAAAGACTTTGTTTTTTTTAATAAAGATAAATTATTTTTATTAGTTAAATTTTCTTGCGAAGCAACTCCCTCCCTATGGAAGCAATTGCTGGAGGAATTTGGTTTAGATATTTTGGGTAAATGATAGAATTTATTTAAATCATTTAATTTTTCCGCGTACGACTTTGGAGAGAAAGAATTGTACATTTTTATTTATTTTTATTAAATTATTTTTAATTTACTGTTGTTTTAAATTATTAGTATACATACGTTCTATTTATTTATTACATATTTCTTATATATTTTATTGATAAAGATTTATAAACTATTAATAACTGCAGTTATCCTCCCTCCATTTAACCAGAACTCCTTTATACCCGAACTCCACTTACTCTTTTATCTTTTAAGAGAGACATTTCCTTTGTTTTTGTTACCTCCCCCCCCCCCCCCGTAGGACCCGTAACTTTTTTGCCATAGGGGAGATCCTTTGCTTTAATTAGAAAAAAAAAAAAGAAAAACAAAGGAGGGGAGAGGATGCGAGCAGAGGGAATAAAACAAAATCAAAGGTGGGAGAGGTGGAGAAAATAAATTTTCTACTTTTTAGATCTCCCTTCGATTAAGTCTCCTTTATTCCTTAGTCTTAGTCTTTTACTCCTTAGCCTTAGTCCTTTAGTAGTTCCAATTATTTATATAAATATCTTATAGTACCTTCCTCCCTAATAAGTAAGGGGGTTAATTATTTAAAAAATTAATTAATTAACCCTTATACCTACCTAAACCATAGGGACTATATATACAATAGAAAGTATAGAGAAAATATAGAGTATATAGAGTATAGAGAAATTAGAGAGTAGGCTTTACTTGTTTACTTTGATATTTAATTTTTAATTAACCCTATATGTTTATAATATTTTTATTCTTCATCTTGAAAGTGAAACATCTCCTCTGCTCGGTCTGCCTCATTAACATAAGTAGGCTCTCCATTGGGCCTGTACCCAGTTAATCTTAAAGCCCGGTAATCTCCATCATTATCACAAAACACATGATATTCCTGACCATTTTTCTGATACATTAAAGGAACTTGAGTTTCCCTAAGTACTTTAAGCGCCTCGGGACTAACAGTTATTTGATCTTGGTTATGGACAGAGATCCGGACATCTATAGGTCCCTTTGAAGTGTATTTAGGGTAAGTAAATTTTTCCAATTTTCAATCTGCCTCATCCTGTGAGGTCCATTCTATATCCGACACCATTTCCTCATCTGATTGATCTCCTAATCCATCAGGTGAAGATCGACTCTCATTAGCTTGCATATTTTCTTCTAGCTCCTCATCCGAAATAGACATATCACTATTAGAGCTCTCTCCTTCCTCACTATCACTATCTAAGTAAATTGTTGGAAAAATAATATTTAAAATTAAATAAAAAAGCATTAATATCAAGTCGATGAGTCCTTCAAATAAAGAAAATATTAATTCATTACTACTATAACTCTCTCCTAAAAAGACTTCCCAACCATTTAAAATAAAGGTAAATAAATTATTTTTAAGGATAAAGAAAAAATAAATAAAAAAAGGAAAAAAATTAAAAAAAAAGAATAAAAATATAGTAATATTTACGATAAAGAATTTAAACCATTCTTTTAAAGATAAAGAAAAATATTTATTTAAATCCAAGGTATACAAAATCTTACACTTTGTAAATATTTGAGGCCAACCCATTAAAAGTAAACCTACGATTAAATAGAAAAATGTTTCTATAAATTGAGAAATTTGTGTTACATGGAATAATCCACTATAAATACTTATACCAGTCCCTATTGTTTCTAAGTATAAAGTATTAATGTTAATATTGTTATGAAAATCATCACTTAGTCCTCGCTCTATCTAGATCTTAAGAAGAGGTAGATATTTTTTTGAGATAAAACAGGTAGAGCCTTAGCTACTATTAATATTGTTATGAAAATAATTTTGAGCAGTAAAGGACTTGAACCTTTTACGGTGTTAACCAATTCTTTTACAGAGAACCACCTTTACCCTTCGGATCACCTGCCCTTTTTCCAAATTAGCGCTAATAGCCCTCCTTATCCCCTCCAAAAAAATAAGGGCTTCTTCTCCCCTCCAAAAAAAATAAGGGTACTTCTCCCTCCAAAAAGTAGGGCTTCTTCTCCCCTCCAAAAAAGTAGGGGTTCTACGAAGGGAACAAAATTAAATATAAATAAGTTTATATTATTTACTTTATTTTAGTTTAAAAAATTTTCTCCTTATCCTTTTATATGAGGATTAAGAAGGGTTATTATAGAGGAGTTATAAACAAAGGAAAAGAAGTCATTACACTATTCTCGGTATTTCTCCTACTTATATATGGAAGTATTTTCGGACTCTTAAAGTTAAAGTTAAAGTTAGGAAATAATAAATGCAAGAAAAGGAACCCCTAAGGGCTAAAATATAAAGTAGTCCTTTAAGAGCAAAAACTTCTCCCCCTTTGCAAAGCCTATATTCTTATTTTTATTACCTTCTAAGGAGCCCTCCTTTGTCCATAGGATAATACTCCATATCCCTTAAATTTGGAGTATTGCCTTAAAACAAAGTATACTCTCTCCTATATATAAAGCTATGTATCTTTAAAAATAGTAGGGGTATGGACAGAATAGGCCCAATAAAAAATAATAAAATATTACGAGTAAAGAGACTTGAACTCTTACGAGAAACTCATGAGCTCCTAAAACTCACCTGTCTATCCAAATTCCAGCATACTCGTTCTATTAACTATTTGATATGAGATTTATTATTAATTTAATCCTTGCCTTGCAACTACTTTTACCTCTCCCTTACTCGCGTACGCGGGGAGAGGAGAGATCCTTTGTTTTTTTTATTATTAATTTTAACCTTTGCTCTCCCTCGCTAAGAGTCAGGGTAGAAGGAGCCCTACTTTTTTGGAGGGGAAAATTAGCCCTAATAGGATTAGGTAAAAATAAAAAGTAGGATGTCTTTATAAGTGAGTAGTTATTAGGTCAAATAAAGTGGGGTAAGTCTAATATAATCTCCGTTCAATAAGTAAAAAATGTGATATAACAATTCTTAACACTAAGTTTTTTTATAAATTAGTACTACTAAACTAAATATTTTACAACACGTACATTTGTAGCCTATCTATTCTTGATCTAAGAATTAATTACCGCTTTTTAAAAATAAATTTACAAATTACCGCGTATTCCTATTACTATCTTGCCTCTATTCTATTTTGTCCTTTGTTCTACCCTCTTCTAATAACCCTTACGGGAAAAGGCAAGATAAAATAAAGTAAAAATAAGACTAAAAACAAGTCTCCAACTCCCTAGTAGGATAGCATAGGACGTAAAAGTGAGGGAGAACTAAATTTATCTCTCAATAAGCGTATTAGTATCTAGAGGTTAGATTCTTGCTTTATAGACATTCAGCACTTATCTAAAATGTTTGTGGCTACCCAACTATGCGTTCATATCTTGTAGCCCTTTATCTCTTTAAATTTAAAGAGTCCTAATTATAAAATTACTACTTTTCCTTTGCTTTTCTTCGAAGAATTGTAAAGCAAAGGCAGAGAGTAGAAAATTTATAAAAAGGGAGAACTTTTTTCATATTAATTCTTAAATTTTAATTAAGAAATAAAGATTGGAGAAAAAAGGTTAAAAGGTACTGTATCTTTGTACTTTACTATACTTCGCGTTTCAAGTTACTCAGATTCTCTTAACAATCTTTACAAACAATTGGTACACTAGAGAAACACAGCCTATTGGTCCTTTCGTACTGGAAGGTCTGCCTCTTTTTACTAATTGTCCCTCCAGAAGATAGGGACCATACTGACTCACGTCGTATTAAACCCAACTCACGTACCCTTTTAATCGGCGAACAGCCGAACCCTTCCAAGCTTCTTCCCCCGGAGGATAGGATGAGTCGACATCGCATTAATTTTTAAATACCTTTGCTTTAATAACTCAGGCAAATAAAAATTCTTAAATTTTCAATTAAGTTTAGACTATATCTTTATCCAGTGTAAGAATACAATTTACAAAGCTTCTGGATATTGGCGTGTAGTCGTTGAGGGGTTATAAATTCTACAGTTGCTTAAACCTAAAATAAATAACTTACCTGCTGATTGTCCAATCTTTCAAATTTTCACTGTTATAAAACTAGTCTTAAAAGCTATAAGGAGGTTCCAGCATATAGCCAACTTCTAAATTAATATTTCTATTAAGATTCCCCGATGTTAAATATATCCAAAATATCAGTTCTATCATTTTCAATATTATAATAATCTTGTTATTTAATGAAATTATAGAATTAAGATTGATTTTTATAGGAATATAATTTGTACCTGGAGGTGCCAAACAGCCGAGACAATGTGTACTCTCGTCGGCTATCAGCCTGTTATCCCTAGCGTAACTTTTATTAATTGATCCCCGTCTATCCCATACTATAGCGAGGGGTCACTATGCCCTACTTACGTATCTGTGCGACTGTTGAGTCTTTCAGTTAAGCATGCTTATCGCCATTGAGCTCTGCGTAACCCTTCACTGGTTAATTGATCTCCATTCAATTTCTAGCTATACCTTATAAATTTTTATGTTGTAAATAAAAAGACTACGAATCTTAGACCTTGTTTTTTTTTAAATTTACCGCTACGCGACAAAAAGAATAATAAAATTTAAGTTTTCTATTCTGTATTAAATATTATAAGATTTCTAAGGAAATATAATAATATTTTATTTTATAAATAATACAATTGGTTGTACTTTGCTACTCTATTAAAGACGACCGCCCCAGTCAAACTGCCAATTAGTCAACTCTCCCTTTATTTATAATATTTAAGGTGAACACGAACCCAACCTTGTATTTAAGGTTTCCACAACATTTATTCTCACAAATATGAGACAAACTAAGCCTATCGGCATACCTATTCACTATTATACAAGATTGTTCTAGATTCATATGATAACTAACTACAGTAAAGCTGCATAGGGTCTTCCCGTCCCCCTGGAGGCAACGCGCATCTGCACGCGTAATTCAATTTCACTGAGCAAGTTGTAGAGACAGTGAGACCATCGTTACATTATTGATACCGGACCACATTTAATGGCCAACTGATTTTGCTACCTTAGGATCCTCATAGTTAAGACCGCTATTAACCAGACTTTCAATCAGTCACAAGATTATTGTGAAAAATAATCCATAACTTCTTTTATATTAATGGCATCGGGCAAATTTCACACAGTATACTACCATACTAATGATTGCACTGTGTTGTGTTTTTAGTAAACAGTCGGGGCCTCCGATTCTGTGCCACCAAACAAATAAATAAGTAAATAATAGTATTTATTAATAATGAATATTTATTTAATAAAATTTATGTCCATAACTACTTTTCCTTTGTTTAAAGCAAAAGCAAATCTGGAAGGACTATATTTAAATACTTTTCTTTGGTACCTCTTGTCGTCAAACTTATGAGGTGAACTTGCCGAGTTCCTTAACAACTTTTAGCTCTACGCCTTAGTATACTCTACTAACGAACCTGTGTCGGTTTAGGGTACGGTAGAATAAATTTTCTTTAATTTTGTTCTTTTTCTCTGCTATTAAAGCAAAGGTAAAATAATAAAAATTAGCAATCTCTTACTCCCTACGGGAGTAAAGAGAGCAAAAGAAAAATGAAAATATTATTTTCCTGGTCCATTTTTTAAATATTGGACTTTCTATTTATTACTCATCAGTTATAGCTTTGGCTATACTCCTTAGAGGCCGCATTAAAACAAAACGGTTTAACCTTTCTAATTTGTAACCCTTTCGTATTCGGCGAATTCCATTATAGGAATTTTTTACGTTACTCATGTCAGCATTCTCTCTTCAGTAATCTAATAAATAATGAAACACTATTTACTTATAAATTTAACTGAATGTTCTACTACCTAGATTACATTTAAATAACTTTTGTTTTCCCTACTCCTTTATTTAAAAAAAAAATAAGTTACCTAGGAGGGGATAGTTAAATTAAATATAAACAACACGATATCGGTTGATTGTTTAAGACCCGTTAAATTTTCGGTGCTACTATCATTTATTAATTAATTTTTATAATTAAAGTTACTGCTGATGCGTTGTTACGTACGTTCATTATAAGTAGCGACTGCCAGGCTCACTTCACAGCTGTATATGATATTGCTACATCCTTAATTTCACTTAACAATCATTTGGGACCTTGATCAGTGTTCTCGGCTGTTTCCGTCTTGACTGCCCAACTTATCATGAGCAGTCTGAATATCTATCATCAATTTATGTAATTCCGAGATTCGCTTCCAAAGGTAAGATTTTCGAGGTCCCCGCAACCTAAACGTATTAAATAAATTTATGTTTCCTTCGTTTAACCCTACTTTTGCCTTTACTTTTGTAAAGACAAAAGCAAAGGAGGGAAGGAGTAAATTTAAATTAAACTTGTTGGGAATTGCCTTGCTGTACCTTCATAAATCTCATAGATAGACATCATACTTAAATATGTTTCGGTAGAAAACCAGCTAGCACCAGGTCAGATTGGCATTTCACCGCTTACCAAAACTCTTCGGAGAATTATGCAACATTCACCCGTTCGATCCATTATAATCTGGTCTTGGTAAGATCACCTGGCTTCGGGTCTAATAGAAGTAACTAACCCATCACTAAATAAAATATAAACTTTCCCCTCTTAAGGATAAGAATAGAAAGTTTAATTTGTAACAAATTAATAAACTTTTTATAATAAAGTTTATATTTTTATTTATATTGTTCAGTCGCTTTCGCTAAGGTTTTAACCTTGCTACTCCTATTAACTTGCTGACCCATTATGCAAAAGGTACGCCGTCATTCTATTTATTGTAGAATTTCGACTGCTTATAGAGTTACTAATTCACGTTCTATTTCACCAATTCATTTACTAAATTTTATTTATTAATCTTAAATATAAATTTAAATCATCTATTTTCTTAAATACCTTACATACTTTTCTCCTTATCTCTTAGGCTTAGAATAGGGATCCTTAAGGATCCATTAGCTAAACATTAGGGACGGAGAATCCTACAATTTATTTTAAAGAAAAGGGAGATAAATAAAAATTTTAAAGAGATTGAGATTGAGATTGAGATAAATAAGAATAAAAATAAATAAATTTTGTTTTAGTAATTGAATTATAAAGTATACTACTTGCTTTTCAAATTTTTCCTTTACAGTACTTTTCGCTATTGCTAAATTTATAATACTTAGCTTTAGAGGATGGTTCCCCTTTGTTCCGACAAGTTAACTCTCATCGTACTTACTCCAAGGGAGAATTTAATAAATAATCAATTTCATTTTTTAACTAATTTAAAAATAAAAAAAAAGTAAAGTCAATTAAATTAAAAAAGAAATTTCCTCTTTTTCGCGTCTGCGTGTCGCTCCCCATTGCTTCCATAGGAAGAGAAGGAGCGCTATATTTAACTTTGTTACTAAATAATTTAAATTCTTTTCCCCTACTTTCTTAGATATCCTTGTTTTAATGCAATTATTCGAAGAAAGGAGGGGAGAAAACTTTATAAATAAATATTATATTCGGCTCTTATTGAGGGTGGAGAGAAAATAAAATTTATCTAAAAAATTTAAGAAAATAAACTTTAGCTTTACTTATTTTTACACCTAAAGAAGAAAAATAAATGAAATTGAGTCCCCTCCACTCTTAAAAAGAGTAAGATTAATCCCTACAAACTAATCCACCCACCAATTGAT